AGCAGTTTTCTGAAAGAATTGAAAAAAAGAAAAGCAACCCCCCCCCCAACACTATTAGTTAACAGTCACCCTGTCTGGTTTTCCATAAACCAGGCATAGCTAAACTGCAGCATCATCTTTTCTTAATAAAAGTCGGCATCCATAACTATTTGTCTTCACTCACAGAAAAGAAAGGGGAAAGGGAATAAGGTAGAGACAGGAGTCTCCAAGTAGCACAGAATGATGGGTATAGTCTATTTGTAAAGAGCATCCCATCAAATCATAACTATCTCTTACAAGTAGAGGGAAAAGTGCTTCAGTCCCTGGGAGAAGACTGTCGTTTGAGGATGACTGTAGGTGCAATGAGATTATCTCTATGGAAAAAGTAAAGTTAAAGAGAACTTTCTTCCTTGATCTTCTGACTTTTAATGTGTTCTTTCAACTCTAAAATTCTATGATCCTATGAAATATCAGAATTCATATTCAAAAACAGCTGAAGCACTTACAATTTCCACTGTACTAGAATGTTGGAAGAAACACTAAATTTAGATTTTACATAGTTCCTGCCCTTCATGGACACTATATTCTAGTAGGGGATATGACAAAAAGACCAGTAACTATAACACTCAATAGCATATGATGGTGTAATAGTTGGGAGACACCCAGCACTGGGTTCAAGAAGAGCTGGGTTTAAGTCTTGACTGACAAGACACATACTGGTTATGTGACCCTGGGCAAGTCACTTAACTGTCACTGCCCTAGGCAGCTCTGGAGCAACAGAAGTTGCAGAAAAAGGTGATAATATGATTAGATAAGAACTCTCAATATGTTGAAATCCCAGGTCCAGTTCCATCCCAAAACGTAGGTTCACAAGAGAGATACAAAGTGCTGCATGAAGTACAAGGGGACAAGTTTTTTATTCACTTGGGAAATGAGGGAAGCCATGAGGGAAGTCATAAAGCAGATATTACAGAATTTGAGCTCGAAAGGATGGGTAAGGTAAGTATTCAATAAAAGAAGGGGTAGGAGAAATCACATCTCATTACTGTTTCACTCTGACACTAAGCAAGACGAGGTGATGTAAATTTAAATTACCTCTTTAAGGGGCAGCTAGGTGGCGCAATGGATAGAGCACTGGCCCTGGAGTCAGGAGGACCTGAGTTCAAATATGACCTCAGACCAAACACTTGACACTTACTAGCTGTGTGATCCTGGGCAAGTCACTTAACCCCAATTGCGTAAGAATTAAAAAAAAATTTTTTTTTAAATTACCTCTTTAAGTAGCTCCTGCACATGTTCCTCCCCTGACAAGTTTCCTTCTAGTCTCTTCTCCAGGGACAAAACTTTTTCCTGCAAATGTTTGATGAGTTTTTCTCCCTCTTCAGCCTTGACAGCAGCCTGTTATCGTAAAAAGGAGCGATGTTCACCTTCTAAGCAAATCCTTCCCTCTCTTGACACATAAAAGTTCCTCAGAATTCAAGACTCTTCGCACATCCCAAAAGATGAACTCCTCACTTCACACTAGACCAGGAAATCCTTCACTTGCCTCCATGCCCCCCAAAACTGTGAAAAATGGCTTTAGGACACACTCAGTCCATCATATCTTTCTCCCCAATTAAAGCAATAAGAGTTCTTGGAAGAAGTAATGCAATTACCTCTCCTGGAAACTAGCCAGGATGCCAGATGCTCCTACTCTTTAAAAAAAAATTACGTCTTCATGAGTCAGAACTCATTTTAATCATACTATCTATGCTGTAATAATCAAGACTAGCAGCACTTGAACTCTTGAGCCTATGTCCTGAGGTTTGTCTTCATTTACTTAAAAACACAAAAGAGCTTAAGATTGCCCTAAAGCAGAGGTTTAGTTTTTGAAAAGTGAGCCATATGACTAGAAATCCATCTGTATGCAGGCTGCTTGAATATTTGAAATAATAATGAAATATATATTGATAATTCTTTAAAAATTCACATTTTTTGCAGTAATCAAAGATCAACTCCCAATAAATTTAATGAAGATTAATTGTATACAAGTGCACAGCTAAAATTCTAGTGCTAGTCACTGATCAATCACATGAATGAGGTACTCCTTAGAAATGATGACAAAAGAATTATAGAGAACTGTGGATATACTTAGGATATACAATTCTAACCCCAGGTTTATTTATTAGGGATATTGTTAAAGGAATTCTTATTTTAATATGGATGGAATGGGATGACCTGAGGCCCCTTATAGGTATGATTTTTTGAGCTCTTGATGGTGGCTCTCAGCTTTGATTTCAGTACTTTCATGAAAGGAAATGTAAGTACAAGACCCAAGGAGACCCAAACACTGAGCAAAATTTAGTCATACAACCTGAAATATACAGTGTTTTAATGGCTTAGTAATCAAATAAAATTTGTTTTGCTGATCACCTCAGAAAGACAGAATACTGAACTAATAAACCAAAATCAAAGAAACTAAAAGATGTTCCAGTTCAAATACAAGCTGATTATTACACTTGAATGACCTAAGCAAAGCAATTTTCTAGGGTAAGACTCAACTATATAATTTGAGAACAGTTCTAATAAAGTTCAAAATGTAAAAGCAGAAAAAAAAACCCACAATAGTTTCATCTAATCTATGACGACATCATTTATTAACTTTAGAACATAAAGCAAACCTAAGATAAACAAAATTTTTAAAAAAGAAGGAAAAAGAAAATGCCCCCAAATATCACATTCACTTAAGACTGTTCTAGTTGGCTAAACAAGAGACAAGACTTTAGGAAAAATTAAACTCTTCCTCTGACTACAACCAATAACTAAGTCATCAAAGGCTAGCAAGGTATTTGGCTTTGGTCTGATAATATCCCTCTAGTTACCAGTTGCCATCAATTCAATTATATCCAATAAGCATTTGTTAAATGCTTCTTTTGTGTAAAGCAGCATATAATATTAGCATAAAATTAGTCCTTCAGGACTTTACAAAGATTTGCAAAGTGTGATAGTGTAGTAGAAAGGATGCTGGAAATGGGAATCAGGAGAGACCTTAGCTCAAATCCCACTTCTGACACTTCTAATTGTGACCAAATGCAATTCACTTAACCTTTTTGAGTGTCCATTTCTTCATATGTAAAATGGGAATAATAATATAAGCAAAACCTACCCTCATAGGTTTGTTATGAGGATCAAATGAGATAACATGCTAAATCTTTCAAAAACAAAAAAAAACAAAAACCTTACATGTTGTCAGTAACTATTCCTATTCTTAATAATAATAGAGAAGATATGAAAATATATTGAGGAAAGTCATATTGGTTATTTTAAGTGTATATGAGAGGTCTAAATAAAATTGTATGTGAGGAAGACATCGGATGGAACTTGAACCCAGTAAGTAAGTTACCAAGTGTTGTATGCATGGAGTAACACTGACTTGGGAGTCCTAACACCTCGTTCAAATATCAGTTATGACACTTACTGACTGTACTACCACGGAAGGACAAGTCAATTCACCTTCATGAGCTTTAATTTCTTCCTCTACAAAATGAAATTAATAAACCATCTCAAACAGCTGTTTGCAGAACACCAAGTGATGCTTATGTGATCTTGGGCAAATAATTTTTTCTTTCTAGTCTTCAATTTCCCCATCAGTATAATTAAGGGGATCAATTAACCCCTTTCAGACCAAGATAAATCTAACCATAAAATAAACAAAACAGAAGTTAAGGAGATGAACAGAATTTTAGAAAAGTTAGATATGGAAAATCTTGTATACAGAGAATACTGAATGAGAATAGAAAACAATATTTCTATTTCTTAGCTGTACATGGCACTTTCACAAAAACTGATCATGTATTACAGCATAAAAGCTTCACAAAGAAATGCAGAAAAGCAGAAATACTGAATGTGTCTTCTGCTAACCAAAATGCAAAAAAAAAAAAAAAAAATAGATTCAATAAAGGGTCATTGAAACAAATTAAAAATTAATTGCAAACTAACTTAATCCTAAAGAATGGGTGGGTCAAAGAATAAATTATAGAAACATAAGTTCATTAAAGAAAATGAGGGGCAGCTAGGTGGCACAGTGGATAGAGCTCAGGCCTTGGAATCAAGAGGACCTGAGTTCAAATCCAGCTTCAGACATTTGACACGTACTAGCTATATGACCCTGGGCAAGTCACTTAACAACGACTGCCTCACCAAAAAAAAAAAAAGAGAGAGAGAGAGAGAGAGAGAGGGAGAGAGAGGAAAAAAGAGAAAAAAAAAAAAGAAAAGGACAACAATCAGACAACATAATTTATGGGATGCAGCCAAAGCTGAACTTAGGGGAAAATTTATATCTCAAATTCCTTACAACAATAAAAGAAAGAACAAATCAATGAATTGTGCATGCAACTAAAAAAAAATAGAAAAACAACAAATTAACTACCCTCCTCAATTAAATATCAAAATAGAAATCCTGATATTAGCAAAACTGAAAGTTTAAAAAATCGAATTAATAAATAAAACAGGAATTGTTTTTCTTAAAATTATTATTATATATATATATTTAAGACAATTGGGGTTAAGTGACTTGCCCAGGGTCACACAGCTAGTAAGTGTCAAGTGTTTGGTCTGAGGTCAGATTTGAACTCAGGTCCTCCTGACTTCAGGGCAGGTGCTCTATCCACTTCGCCACCTAGTTGCCCCGAGGAATTGGTTTTTTGAAGAAACAAACAATAAACAGATAAGCCACTGGCTAATTTGATTTTTTTAAAAAAGAGGAACAAATTACTAGTACAAAAATGAAAAAGGTTATTCCCAACAAATGAAGAAGAAATAAAAGCAATTAGGAGATATTTTGCCCAATTATATACCAATAAAATGACAATCTATATGAAATGGGTGAATATTTATGAAATTATAAATTGCCCAGACTGACAGAACAGGAAACAGAGTGCTTAAACAATTCAATCTTAGGAAAAAGAAATCAAACAAGCCATAAGTGGACTTCCTAAGGAAAAAAACCCCAGGACCAGATGGGTTTATAAGCAAATTCTACCGAACATTTAAAGAACATATAATTCCAATACCACATAAACTGTTTGAAAAAAGTTGGTAAAGAAGGAGTAGTACCGAATTTCTCGGACAACACAAACATACTCTTTCTTAAAACCTCAACCAGGGAGGGTCAAAAGAGAAATAAAACTATAGACCAATTTCCCCAATGAATATTAATACAAAAATGTCAAATAAAATAATAGCAAACAGACTACACAATATATCACAAAGATCACGTACTATTTATAACAGGGATGCAGGGCTGGCTCAATATCAAAAAAACTGTAAGCATAAATGACCATATTAATAACAAAGCCAACAAAAATCTTATGATTATTTCAAGAGATGTAGAAAAAGCTTTTGACAAAATTTAAAACTCATTGCACTGGAAAACACAGGATAAATGGAGTTTTCTTTAAAATGATAACTAGTATCTCTCTAAAACCAAGAGCAAGCATTATCTATGGTGGAAATAAGCTAGATGCCTTTCCAATAACATCAGCAAGTGAAGTGAGGATGCCCACTGTCACTACTATTATGCAATATTGGACTAGAAATGCTAACTATAGCAAAAAGATAAGAAAAAGAAACTGAAGAAATAAGCACAGACAATGAGGAAACAAAACTATAACTTTTTACAGATAGGTTGCTTTAGAGTCAATTCTAACTGAAACTAAATGAAATAATGAACTTCAGCAAAATTGTAGGATATAAATAAACCTACACAAATCATCCAGATTTCTGTATATTACCAACAAAACCCAGCAGGAAGAGACAAAGAATCCTATTTAAAATAACCAAAGACACTATTAAAATATTTGGGAATTTACCTGCCAAGACCCAAACAACAAATTATACAAACACAATTACAAAACACTCTTCACACAAATAAAGATGTCTAAATTATTGAATAAATGTTATTTAATCATGGGTAGGCTAAGTCAATATAATATAAATGACAATACTACCCAAATTAATTTATTTAGTCAGTACCATACCAAACTACCAAAGAATTACTTTATAGAGCTGGGAAAAAATAATACTAAAATTCACTTGGAGGAATAAAAGGAAGGATATCAAAGAAATCAATGGAAAAAAATGGGAAGGAAAAGAACCTAGTAGTACCAGATCTCAAACTGTACTACACAGCTGTACTTGTCAAAACAATTTGGTACTGGGGAAGAAAGAGAGGTTTTCCTGCAACTATCCCCTTTGTCACTTATTATAATACAATAATATTCCATCACACACATATACCAAATTTTTTTAATGAACATGACTAATGTGGAAATTTGTTTTGTATTACTATACATATTTGTACTGGGTTTTGTTTTTCTTTCCTTCTCAATGGGTGGGGAGGGGTGGGAAAGGCAGTAAAT